GACCTCCCCAGCCTTGGTCAGGACGATGTCCCAGTTTCAGTCCGGACCTAACCCCCGGGCCCTTTGTAAGCCTCCGGCGCGTCATCTGTAAAAGGGGAGAAGTTGAGAAGACCCCAAGCCCTTACAGCCCTGGGATTCGGAGATTCCCAGGGCCCTGAAGTCCCCCAACCCTGCCAAGCCCCTTACTCTCCGGTTAACCTCTTCTATCAATAAACTCACCTGAGGCTACAGAGCACTCCTTTATAACTTGCATGCCGAGGCTGGGGGGTGGGGGAAGAGCCAGACACAGGCCAATCAAATGTATTGGCCTCGAGAAGACATGACGGGCATGTCAGCCAATCAGCGGCCGCGTCCGGCAGCTCCAGGGCGGGGACACGTAACGGGCTCAGAACCGTGGCGAGAGGCGGTCGCTAGGCTACACCAACGCAAATTTGGCGTCTCAGCCAATCAGCTCTCGCTACGGCCTGGAGGGGCGTGGCAGCCAGCCCAGGACCAATCCGTGGCTGAGGCAGGAACAACAACGAGGGGCATCCTCTCGCCAACAGGAAGTGCTCGGAGGCGGGCCGGCCAGTCGGCGGACGGCTACGACGCCATGAATATCTTGCCCAAGAAGAGTTGGCACGTCCGGAACAAGGACAATGTCGCCCGCGTGCGGCGTGACGAGGCTCAGGCCCGGGAGGAGGAGAAAGAACGTGAGCGGAGGGTGCTGGTCGCTCAGCAGGAGGTAAGCCCGAATGCGGTCGGGCGGGACTCCCTGGCCGAGCGCGCGCGCGCGTGGGGAGGGGCCGGAAGCGGGGGTGGTTCGCCGGCACCGTGCGTCCGGTGAGGCCGGAGGAGCTGGGCGTGGCTGGAAGCGCGGAAGGGGGGGGCCCCCCCTGCGCGGCCCTCCCACTGGGCGGGGCCTCCCCCTCCCCCTCCCTGCGCCTCTCCCTTGCCCTGGTGTCCCCCATTCGTGTAGTTCGCGAGGCCTGAGTGTGCCTGGCACAGTAGGGGCTGGTGAAAAAAATGAACCCTTGCCCAGTTCAAGGAAACTCGGGCCCCTGTTTAGTTTGCACAACCTCCCTGTTGAGCGCCTACTGTGTGCTCGCCCGGTGCAGAGTGCTTGACCTGCGGTCTCTCAAGCTTGGAGGGGCGCTGTCCTCCGTGGTGCAGAGAAGTGGGCTGTTTCTGAGGAAAGGGACAGTGGGACACACCCATCCCGCTGTGGGGCGAGCCCTCTCCCTGCTCCCCGCCACCCCCCAGGGGCTTTGTATAACTCCTAATCTCTAGTTTTCAGTCCTTCAGCGAATCTGGTCCTCACCTGAACTTTAAAAGTTCGCTTTTGTCAGCAGAGAGTGCACGTCGTCTTGGGAGCAGTGACTTGGGAGTCCCGCCTGTAGTTCTGGTCGCCTGTTCTCCTATTTTGGGCTGTCTTCCCAGCTGTTTTTGTTGTGTCACCCGAGGCTGGGAACCCTTGTGGCTGACCGAGAGGCAGTGTACAAGCCCAGGTGTCACCTCATTGTCCCAGCGTCTCCCGGGCCGGGACAGGTGTCTCTGCTGGGCTCCCAGCCCCCAGCACCAACACTGGGGTTCTCTGTGTTTGGAACCAGTCTCAGTTCTTGGAGTCATGTCTAGGTTCTGAATTCTCTGCCTGTACCTCTTTTTCCCAGGCCCGCACAGAGTTCCTACGGAAGAAAGCCAGGCACCAGAACTCACTCCCTGAGCTCGAAGCAGCAGAGGCGGGGGCCCCGAGTTCTGGCCCCGTGGACCTATTTCGGGAACTGCTGGAGGAAGGAAAAGGGGTGACCAGTGGCAATAAAGAGTATGAGGAAGAAAAGCGACAGGAGAAAGTAAGCTGGCCCCCCCACTTAGTCAGTCCTGGGTAGAGCCGGGGGTGACTGACGGGAACAGAGCAGTGGGAGGGAGGGAAACGAGCTACTACAGAGAACTCAGTACGGAACATGGCACTCAGGAGTGCGGGTATTGCCACCCAGGGCTGCAGGGGCTTGGAAGTGGGTGCTGGAGCCCCCTCCCCGCCAGCTGTGGGACTGTTAGGTACAGACCCCCGTAGAGGTTTGGGAGCTCTTTCAGTGTTAGTCAGAACCTGGGGTCCTGTCGCTCACCTGCTCTCAGGGATTCCCACCAAACCCTGAACTTGCCTTTGTTTTGTCTCACTCCTTGGCCTTGCTGGCTGCTTTCAGGTTTGTCCTCACACTATCTCCCCAAAGTTGCCTGCCTCTGAACCCTAAAGCAGCTGCACCCCCCCTTCCCCCATGCTTGTTACTGAACCCACCCTCATGCCCAGGGCAGGAGCCCCACCTGTCCTTAGCACAGGGCAGGGCTGGCTCACGTTGGTTCTGCCTGTCCAGGAGCCTCGGGTGTCCTGTCGTCACGTGGAGGGCTCCCCGAGGGGAGACCTGCTTGACATCCTCACCTCCCTAGTTTCTGTCCCCCGCAGGAGAGGCAGGAGAAAGCTCTGGGCATCCTGACATACCTGGGCCAGAGTGCAGCGGAAGCCCAGACTCAGCCGCCTTGGTACCAGCTCCCCCCAGGGCGAGGGGCCCCCCAGCCCGGCCCAGGTCCAGACGAGAAGATCAAGAACCGCCTGGACCCTCTGCGGGAGATGGAGAAGCATTTGAGGAGGAAGAGAGGGCACAGCAGTGATGACAGTGGCCGCAGCAGAAAGGGGAAGGAGGGGCCAGAGAAACAGCGGCCGGAAGCGTAAGGAAGCTGGGCCGGCCGTGTGGGCACTAGGTCCGGGGCTGGGCGGCTGGAGGCGGCTCTCAACATGTGGTCTTGGGGCCCCAACACCCATCCGGGGGTCTGCAGAGGCAAGCCTGCTTTCCTGATATCCCCAGGCAACGTTCACTTGGTCTCGAGTGTCCAGTGGTTTCCGGGGAGACAGTGTGGGGACAGACAGGCTTCCATGTAAGACGGTGATAAAACCCACTGAGACCTAAAGCTTTCTGGGGGCCAGAGTTCCAGAGCCGTGGGGTCAGTCGGAGCAGGTTACATGCGTCCCTAGCAGGACAAACCTGAGCAGTTGGTCTTCGACAGAAGGGGAAACTGAGGCCCAGGGTGTGCTCATTGTCACAGCTGATTAACAGTGGGCTTTCTTGAGCTGGAGGGGCACCCCACTGTAAGGAGGGGGGGGCGGTGATGGGAGCCCCAGAGCCTTGTGTGCAGCATGAAGCCAGCTTCCTACCCTCAGGCCTCACAGACCAGAGCATGTCCGCTTGGGGGAGAGGGGGTGGGGGCTCCAGGGGCTCCAAGCTTTCTGAGCTTTCTGATCTGACTCCTCTCCCCAGACCCCCGGCCCTGGACCAGCTTCGAGCTGAACGTCTTCGGCGGGAAGCAACGGAACGTGCTCGGGCGGAGGCCCTCCTGGCCCGAGTGTGGGGCTTAGCCCCCCAGAAGGACCAGCCCGAAGAGGAGGCTGACGAACGGCGGAGGCGGTACAACTCCCAGTTCAACCCTCAGCGGGCCCGGCGTCCCGCCAGCAACGCCCAAGCGCTCGCTGACTCCTGGGGGCAGAGGAGAGGCCGCAGCTGCCAGCCGTCATATAAAACTATTTATTCATAAATATTTTCCAAAATGAAAATAGGTTTACCAAAAAATGTCCCTCACTGGGGAGGGGAGGAGGGGGCAGCCCTTGCCCCCAGGCCCCCAGGGTGGGGCTGCTTCCTGGGGGCAAGGGCTGCCCCGAGGCCTGGGGCCTCCCCCAGTCTTCCAGGGCAGGGCCCTCGCCTGGGCAGGGGGGTCAGCATGCGGGGCGGGGGAGGGGAGGGTGGAGGGAGGGGCCGGTGTCACTGGAGGTCCCGGTCCTCCAGGTAGCGGTACTCAAAGGTGAAGCCTTCCTTCTTCCGCTGGCCCCACTTCTCGTAGTCAAAGTAGATGTAGGTGCCCTGGCCAGGGGAGAAGGTGGTCAGTGAGCGGGCGAGGAGGCGGCCAGGGCTCCGGGCCGGACCAACGAAGGGGACGCACCTCAGGGCTAGGGGTGTGCCAGGCACCGGGCCCGGCGCCCTGCATGCATGGGCCGTGTCCCTCCACCCTCCCCAAGGTCTTCTCAGGCAGGAAAGGTCGTCCTGTGCGCTTTAGAGGAAACGGGGAGGTGTGGAGGAGCCACAGCTGGGCCTCAACCCCGGGCACGTTTACACGGTGGCTATGGCTTCTCGCGACGGCTGCGGCGTTTGAGCACAGAGCCGGTGCTCAGTACGCGAGCTGTGTCCTAGCATTTAGTCTTCACACAACCCTGAGGCCGTGACCCCATCCTAGAGAACGGAACAGGCTGAGTCTACATCCAGGCACGCTGTTGGGACAGATGTTTTATTGGTGACAGGGGTGGCGTGGGCATTTCTGAAGGAGTGAGGCCTTGACACGTACTTGGAGGGTTACTTTGGCCCAAACCAGGATGGGGCAGGGAGTCTGGTTAATGTGCGAGAGGACATGGGGAAGGGGGCTGGGTCTGCACTGAGCGTCTGAAATGCGGCAAAGAACCTGAAAGAACCGGGGGGGGGGGGGACCGAGTTCTCTGAGGACAGGGGCCTTGCTCAGGACTTGGCATCAGGCAAGTATTTGGTGGAAGATACCACTGTGGAATATAGCAATTAAGTTACTGGAAACAAAATACACCCCTGATACTTACTATGGAACAAGCACCATTAAGTACTTACACGTCATTAACATTTAATCCTTGTTAACTACTGCACACAGGGCAGTTAGCCCGGGCTTACACATAAGGACAGGGAGACAGGTCCAAGCGACCTGCCCAAGGTCACCCAGCAGGAACTGGGTTCAAACCCATGTGGTGTGGCTCCAGAGGGGGGTGCAGCAAGTGGGAGATTATCACCACGTGGGAAGTCATTAAGAAAACAGCGTCCCCCTTCGTGGTTGCTGCGGAGCCCCTGCTCTGCTGGGCGTGGGAGGGACCGGACGAGGGAGCGGCACAGGCTCCCTGGAGGTCGAGGACAGGGGTCCCTGTGGAGCACGGGGCGGGCAGGGCACAGGGAGGGGCCCTCACCTGCTCAAACTCATCCGTGATGGTCTTGGGCTCCTCGTGCCTCTGGAACCACATCATGTACTTGGTGTGGAATCGCCACGACTGCTTCTTTAGGGCTTTGGCTGCCAGGTACTGCGCCTTCGTGCCCTGGGGGAGGAAGTGTGGAGCCGGGGATCAGGGGGCCCCCAAACTGGTGGGGCGAGCGGCACAGGGCTGACCCCAGGCCCCACCGTGGACCGAGGTTGGGCTGGACAGTCCAGGGGGAGAGGGGCTGGGGCACGGAACATACCACTGTTGGCCAGGAGGAGGAAAATGCTTCCAGAGAAGCTTTGAGAAGGAAGAAAAACTACTGCGTGTTGGGAGTTTGGGAAGTTTCCCCGGGCGGGGGGGTGGACTCGTTGCCATTCCCTGGGGTCATGCAGAGGGGCTGGCACTGTGGGCACAGCCGTGGGTGGCCGGAGCGGGGCTGGGGTTCCCTGGCCCCCAGCCTCAAAACGGACGTGTCTGTGCTGACGTGGGGACAGGGACACGGTTGCCGGGGTGGGGGTGGGGGAGCGGGACTGGGGGATGGGGAGGGGGTGCGGTCCCGGTGGCCGCAGCGGGGCACCCACCTCACCCCTCCAGCCCGAGGGGGGACGGCGGCGGTGGCGGCGAAGCCGGGGGGCCCGAGGCTGCCCCGGGGGCCCTGCTGTACCTCCAGATAGTAGAAGATGAAGAAGAGTGTCTCTGTTGACAGGCGCTGGTAGAACTCCACGGTGTCCGAGTGTGGGGGTGGCATCTGGTGGTGGTAGGGGGGCGTCGGGCAGGGGTTCCGGGGGAGGTACTGCCTGTGGAGGAGCAGAGGGTTGGTTCCTGCGCCCGACAGTCAGTGCGGTGTGAGGATCTGCCTCACTGACCAGGGGCGGCTTCTCAGGCGCCTGGTCACCCCCACATCGGACGCTCTTGCGCACAGCCTGCAGGAGGACTGCTCACGTGCGGTCTCAGGATGGGGAACCAGGTCCCACCAGGGCCGCCTCCCTCACGTTCGCGGGTCCCGGGCCCTCACCGGATGCGTTCGGAGTCTGAGGGGTGGGGCATGTGGTGCCAGGCGGCCTCCTCCATGGCCTGCTGGTAGAGCTGCTCCTTGGTGAGGGGCACAGGCCCCAGTGGACACACGCCCAGTGACAGCGGGATGTTCACCTCCGACAGCTGCAGGGGCGGCTGCGCCGAGGCCGGTGGAGCAGAGGTGCTGCTCAGGATGATGTCTGCGGGGAGCGCAGGGCCAGGCCCTTTGGTGAGGCTGGGGTGGTGGGGCCGCCCCCTTGCCGGGCCGCCGCCGCCTCACCCAGACCCTCACCTCGCTCGGTCAGGTGCAGCGTGGGCACGGGGTCCTCGATGCCGGAGCTGATGGCTGCCCGCTCTGCCATGGACTTGAGAGAGCTCAGAGGCTCGGGGGCCTGCAGAGAGAAGAGAGCTGGGACCCACACTCCCACCCCCTCCAGCAGGGGGTCAGCAGAGCCAAGGCCACCGGCATGAAGAACGCCGCCACAGGATCTAACGGGACACAATGTAGACGCAGGGGAACAGGCAGCACTGGCGGAGCGCCTGTCCGGGGGGGCCCCTGCCGTGCAGGACCACAGCGGCCAGCAGACCAAACCGCAGTGCACGCGCACAGGGCACGCCTGGCGGCGCGCGGGCTTCCCTCCGCGCGTGCACCCATTCCACGGGCAACCAGGCTGCCGAATGCTGCCGAGGGGCAGGGGCGATGGGGCAGTCTCCCGACACCCCTGGCACCCCAGCTCCCTGCTGGCGGACACGCAGGCCCGAAGCCACGCCCGGAGCAGGTGTCTGAGCCGTGGTCAGCGCAGCCTGCAGGCCCCAGGCCTCTGTGCCGCCTCCCCATGCCCCCATCCCTCACACCACCTGCCCTCTGTGCTCTTCTCCGTGGCCCCGGAGGGACCTGCCCAAGCCACATCTGCCTGTGTCCCTTCTCTGCTCACAACCCAGTGGACCCCTTTACTCCAGACAGATACACACACTATAAATTTCCTGTCCACGGTTCCTCCAAACTGCATGCTTACTCTGGGCCACACTCTGTTCCAAGGGCTTCACTGTCCTGTCATAACTGAGGTGCAATTATAAGCACCTGCTTTGTCCACAGAAGGCCACAAAGAACATTGACCTGGACTCCTACTCGGTGGAGCTGAGATTATATGCAGGCCCAGAAAGTCAGCCCCACATTCTGCTCCCCTTTCAGACCCTGGCGCCCAGGACCCCACGGCCCTCTCTAGGACACCCCACCATCACAGCCTCGCAGCCAGCTTGCACCCACCTCCTGTCTATGGAGCCCTGCCCCAGCATTCTCCCTCAGCTCCGACAGCAGCTCTCCTAGAACTCCAGCATGAGAACCACTCCTTCCTCCGCCTTTCCCGCCACTGGGCCCCCACCTCTCCCAGCTTAGAGATCTCCCCCCACCCCAGGCCTTGCTGGGCCATCTCCCCCAAGTCCGAGGCACCTCTGCGGGTCCATGGCACCCGCTGCCCTGGGCCCGTGCAGTCCCACTTGGCTTCCTGTAGAGAAGGTGGGACTGGGTGTGTTCACCTGGCATGAAGCATGGCCCAGAGTGGATGTCAGTGTTTTCTGAACTTAGATGGTCCCTCAGAAGGGAAAAGGAGGGCGGTGGGCTTGATGGTGGGGTGTGTGAAGGCGCGAGAAGACATGAGGTCAGAGAGGACGGTGGGAACCCAGAGTGCGGGAGAGCAAGTCTAACCAGGAGCCCAGGAAAGAGTCCCGGAGAGCAGGATGGTGGAGCCCGGGGACCAGGCAAGGGTGCACGTGGTGGGGAAGAGCAAGCAGGCGGGGGGGGCGGGGGGGGCGGGGGCAGAGCCCTACTGAAAGAGGAGGTGGAGGGCCGGCAGACCTAGAGGAAGCGGACAGCAAACGTGCAGGGGAGACGGCAGGGCCAGGACACACAAGCCGGAGGCCCACCTTGATCTCCGGGGCAGTGCTGAACTGTGGAGGTCCGTTGAGCAGGGCGCCGGCTGCCTTGGCCTCGCTGAAGCTGGGTGTTGGGGAGCTGGGAGGGTTCACGGGAAGTGGCACCAGGAGACTGGGTCCCCCTGTGTTGTTCCCTGAGCCTGGGGCCACACCCCCAGCCCCTGCTGGGGCCGCCGCGCTGGGTTCCTTCCTGGGAAGGAGAAAAGGGGAAAGGGCTCAGAGGAGGGGCCGAGTCAGGCCCCTGCCACGGTCCGCGGAGGGGAAGCACGAAGGTGCCTGGTCCACCCACAGAACGGGACGCCTCAGGCTGATGGACGCAGGGCAGGTGCCCCCTCGGGGCGGCCCACCCAGAGCCTGGCGGTGAAGCAGACCCAGGAGGGAGGTCTTCCCTACGGCCCTCGGAGGTCACAGTCTTTCTTGGGGCAATCTTCTGAGAACAGGGACTCCCTGGAAAGGTCTGACCTGAGATCTGGAGAGGCAGCCCTCTGAGGGGAGTCAGGTGGGCCTGGGGCAGGCCACTGGAAAGGGGACGTGTTCCAGGGGACGTGTGGGGACTCTAAGAACAATCCCGATTACCCAAGGATGTCTTAGAACACTGCAAAGTGTAAAGCTAGGGGACTGCTGGGTACAACGTCCTGGCTGGAAGAAAGTGGGGACGCCCCACCCGACCAGTGGGCCAAATCCTGGCGGGGGCAGGGACTGCCGACGGCCACTCACGAGGTGCTGGGCGGCGGGTTGTGGGGGCCCGACGGGGGGCCCGGAGCCTGGCTGCTGGCACTGCCGCCCCCAGTGCTGCTGAGAGCCACCTCTGCCGGGCTGTCTGCTACCACTGAGCTATAACCTGGGGGCAGGACGATGGGATGAAAATGGGCCGACCGCCCCAGGGCCCCCCAGCCGCCTGCAGCCCCCTGCAGCCCCCCTGCTCACTGGTGGTGCCGTTCTGCTTGCCAGCGCCTCCGCCTCCGCTGCTGTTAGTGGTGCCCCCGCCGCCGCCAGGCTGGACGCTGGGGGGCCGGGGCTGGGCGGTGCTGGACCCGCTGGGGGCCGGCGGGGCCACAGCCTGGGCGTAGGGTGCAGGGGTGCCTGAACTGTGGCTGGGAGCTGGGCTGGCCTTGGGGCCCAGGGCGCTTGTGGGCGCTGCTGGGGTGGAGGCCCCATTGTTGCCAGGGGCAGTGCTCAGGGCAGAGGCGGCAGGTGGGGGGCCAGGTGGGTAGCTAGGCGGCACAGCCGGGGACTGAGGGTGCTGGTTGCTGTGGACAGGCTTGGAGCCATTTTTGGCTGGAGACTGCGGGGGTCGGGGGGAAAGAAGAGGGTCAGGACCCGGTGGGCCAGCAGGTCTGCCGAGCCCTCCCCCCCCCACCCCCAGCTGGGCTCCACTGTCCTTGCAGGGCCTGACTGCCCCCAGCTGTTCCCCTCCGCTTGACCTGACCCTCAAAGCTTCAATCACCGCGGGACACACCTAAACACTCACACGCGTTCCAGCCCCCACCCAGCTTCCCACATCCTGCGTAGACACCTCCTCGAGATGACCCATAGAGCTCTTGTCAGGGACAGACACCCACTGGAGATCGGGGAAGTGCTATGGCCTCAACAGGAGATTAACTGGAACCAGCTAACACTCCAAGAGGAGAAGGAAAAGCAGCCTAAAATTGGGTAGTAGTTCTGAACGTTAAAGGGTCACAAAAGCAACCGGAGGGGCCGCGGATGACCCCCCGCAAGAAAGCAGGAGTGACACACACAGCACAGCGGCGGCCGAGCAGCACCGCCTGCCTGACAGCCCCCTGGCACCTCGCGCTCACTACACATCAAGGGGTCCTGAGCCCAACTCCTTCCTGGCCCCAGCTGCTCGCCCGGGTCCCACACTGGCCCCCTCAGTGCCCTCCCAGCAGGCTGCTCCCTGACACCCTGGTTCGAGGAGCAGTGCTTCCTGAAGCCTGCTCCTGTCCTGGGGGGTGCTCACAGGGCACACCCACCTGGCTGACTTCACTATCCGTCGAGCGTCCCCTCTTCTTGTCATCTTCAGAGTTTTCCTGAGGTGGAAGAGGCGCAGTCGGACACCTGTGTGACCTCTAGGGCCCCGACAGAGACGCCAATCTCTGAAGCTCCCAAGGCCGCTGCGGTGCCTATGCCCTGGCCTCACCAGGGGACCCAGGGTCCCTGTCTTCTGGGAGCCAGCACCACCTGTCAGCCTCTCACGGACCCAGGAGCCTGCTCTCCTTAGGGAACCCAACCCTTGATCCCTGCCTGAGCAGCCCCGCTGCACAGCCTTCAGCCTTCACCGCACGCCCAGGGCCCACGCGCAGCCCGGTCTGGCCCTTAGGGCCTGGGCCCGGGATACCCAGACCCCACTTCCCCAGTTCCTCTCCCACAGGCCGCCTCCTCACCGTGGTGCAGTTGGCCGGACTGGGTGGGATGGGAGAGCTGGAGGTGGTCGAGGTGGGTGTGCTGCTTGACTGGTTGAAGATCTCATCCTCCATGTGACTGTGGCTGGGGGGGGAGGTGGCGACCAGCGCCTGTGCTGTGGAGGCAGGGAGGGGGCATGCTCAACGGGCTCGGACGCCCTCCCACCCGGCCCTCGCTGCCCCGTGCCCACAGGCCAACCCTGGGCCTCACGAATGTCCTCGAGGTCCAGGTCGTCATAGAGGAACTCATTCTCCTCGAAGTCGGGGTCCTGGGACGAGTCAACGTAGTACTCAACGTCATCCTTGATCTTGCGGATGGCGTCAACGAGGATGGAGTCGTTGTCCAGCATGCGCAGGATGGTCTCCAGCATGCGCACGTGGTAGCGGTGCTTCTCGATGTGCCGCTTCAGGCCCTCGATCCGGTCCTGCTTCTGCTGGCGAGTCCAGGGCCAGGCTCAGGGGCTGCAGGGCACCTGCCCGGGCCCCTCCTGCCCCCACAGAACCTGTCCTCAGTCCCCGACCCCTGCAGAGACCCAGGGGCTCCACTCCAAGCCCCTCCTGCCGTGGGCAGTGTGGAGTCTGCCCCTCCGTCTAGCCCCTCAAGGACCCCCAGCTCCTGCCTAGACGTCCCAGGAAACTTATTTTTTTAAAGATTTTTATTTCTTTATTTGACACAGAATGAGACAGCAAGAGAAGGAACACAAGAAGAGGGAGTGGGAAAGGGAGAAGCAGGCTTCTCGCCGAGCAGGGAGCCCCATGCGGGACTCGATCCCAGGACCCTGGGATCATGACCTGAGCCAAAGGCAGACGCTTAACCAACTGAGCCACCCAGGCGCCCCATCCCAGGAAACTTCTAAAAGACCAGAAAGCCCTGTGCCTCCTACACTGTGGCCCTTTGCAGCTACCGACAGCCCAGATCTCAAAACTGCAGCCCACCCCACCCCCATCTCGCTCCAACAGCAACAGTGCCGATGCCCGTTTGCAGGGAGCCATCATCTTTGTCCTCACGAGCCCCCACCCCGAGGGAGTCCAGATTCAGCAGCTTAGCTCCTGGGCTCTCCAGGCACCTGCCCCTCCCCCAAGCCCTCAGTTCTAAATCCCCTGCCCCCTCCACAAGGACCTATTGCATCTCTCCTCCAGGCTTCCGCTTCCCAAACCCCTCACCGTCTCAGACCCCTAAATCGGGCACATCTCCCACTGCCCCCCGCACCCCTGGACCCAGCTCTCCATTCCCTGTGTTTCCTGTGCCAGTGAGTACAGGTGGTTTGCATCACCCTGAACCCACACCCTGCAACCCTGGAGTTTTGGCATCTGGGCCCCTAGATCCGGCTTTGCCCCAAGACTGCTCTTCTCAGCCCAAATGAGCCTCATCTCTCCCTACTGCCTCAGGACCTGGGCCTTCTCGGAGCTAGGAGGCCACGGCTTCAGCTCTCGGACCTCCCCACCCTGTGCGCCGTCCGCTCTTGCCTCGTCTGCAACCCCGGCACAGCCCAGCACGTTCCCCCAAACCACTCCTCCTTTCCCCGGCACCGCTGTTCACCGAGGCTGGACGCCTGAGACTGGCTCACCACACGGGCCAACCCCAGTGGCCGCTAAGCCCCCGCTCGCCAGCCTGTCTCTGTCCCCCAGGCGCAGGGTCCCCCACTCACATCCTTGTCACCCTTCTTCTTGCGTGTCTGCACGGACAGTGACTCTACTTCGCTCTCGAACTGGTCCACCTGCATGTTCAGGGTGTCAATGGTGTTCTGGGGGAGAGGGAGGGGAAAGGCGGGTGGTCAGCCAGTGTCCCCACGGACACCCAGGGATCAGGGCGCCGGGGTCCTCTCCTCCTCTCTCCCCTGACTCACCGTGAGCCACTGGCCAACCTCCTCCTTCTCCTTCTGGGCAGGGTCCACCTTCTGTGCCAGGCCCAGGCCCTCCTTGCTGTAGGCCTTAGTCTTGGTCTCTCGCTCCACAACTTTGAACCGTTCCATTTGCTGTGGACAGCGCAGTTGGCAGGAGGTCCCAGCCCATCGCCTCTCCCCTTCCCCCGGGCGGAGAAACCTTCCTCTTCCAGGGCCTTCTGGGGACCTGGGAACCGGCCTCCTCCCACCTCTCAGGTTCCAGGCTCTGGGCTCCTACCGTCTCAATGAGCTTGCGGTTGTCTATGAGCTGCCTCTTGTCCTTGATCTCGTTGGATGCTACCCATGTCTTGATCTGGTCCCTCAGCCGCTGCAGGTGGGGGAAAAGCAAGACAGTCACACTGCCTTAGGACCTGGGCACCGAGGCCGCCAGTCCCCTCCTCCTTGCTCCCTCTGCCCTAGGGATGCAGGAATCCAGGCCCCTAGTCTCCTCACTTGAAGCTTCTTAATCTCCTTCTTTAGATCAGCCTCATACTTTTCTTTCTGGTTCGCGTTGGCTGCGTTGTGGAGCTGAGGGATGAAGAGAACCCAGGAGTCAGCGTGGGACTTGGGGCCCTCGTGCCCACTCCAGTGGTAAAGCTCCAGTCTCTTGGGGCTGGGGACTCTGGGAACACCACCCCCCAACGCCCGCCGCCCCAATCCATCTCAGAGCTGCTTCTAAGGTCCTCAGCACCTGGACCCACAACCCTTCTCCCTGGCCTACACCCAGAGACCCTGAACGTCTTCCTGTGCTCTCCTCCCTGGAGACCCAGATTTTTAGGACTCCAGGCCCTGTACCTTCTGCCAAATATCTTCAAACTGCTCCACGCCCTCAGACACCTTCTTGAGGCAGCGATCAATCTCACCTGGCCGGGAAGGAGAGAAGGCTGTTAGCACCCTGCCGCGGCAGCAGGCATCCGAGGAGGAGTTCAGAGGACAGTGAGCATGTGGCTACAAAAGGCAGCAGGCAAGGAAACCAGTACCTTGGAGTTTGCGCTTGTCCGCCATCTTCCCTGCCCTACAGACGCACTCTCTTCATACTCTCTTGGAGACGGACGCTGCTGACAGAGAAGGAAAGGACACAAGTTTATTCCCCAGCTGGCCAAACACAGATGCGTGAATGAGGCTGGGAACAGAGGGTACGTGAGATGGTAGAGGGAAGACGCATTTACTATCTGATGACCAAGAGGAAGCCAAGTTCTACTTATGCTGCCCCCAACAGCCCAGCACAGGGTCTGAATGCTCCGGAAGTTTGTCGAAACAAGGAAACAAGTGTACTCTTTCCCAGGAAGTGGGCAACTCCCAGAGCGTGGAACACCCTCTCCCCAAATGACGCTCCAGACATTTTAGAGCAAGAAGTCAAGCAGCCCATGGCTGAGTGCTGGGGAGTAAGGCCCACAGAGGGGCAGGGTGCACCGGTGACTAGAATCCTAACACCGGAGAGGGGACCCCTCACACAGGTCAGAATACCAAGCGTTTGCGGGGAGAAGGACCAGATGCCGTCTGTGTGTAAGAACTGCAGGGGACGGAAGGGGCGCAGTGGGAGATGGGAAATGCCTGGAATCAAGAAGCGCTAAACCCACCCATCGTGTCAGGGCTTGGTCCCAAGCAGAAGCGGGCCGTACGCCACCAAGCTTATTCCAGGTCAGAGTCTTTAAAACACAGGAGACAACCCAACCCAAAGACACTGACACCAAGAATTAGATGTGTGGGGGCAGAAGGCATCACCCCAGAGAGGGCCAGGAGGGTGAAAGGGGGCCTCAGCTGTGAGAGCGCCAGCTGTGTACACTAAGGAGGGACGTATCAGATACGTTGGTAACACAGATGTGGGGAAACATAAACCATCGGGACGCGTGCCACGTACTTAGAGAGGCATCTTCACCCTAAAGTACATGCAATCCAGAGGAGACTGGGTTCAAAGGGGGAGTCACCAGGAGCTCTGGCCCAGGGGGAAGCCCCAACTTAGGGTCTGACACCAAGATCGGGGGAGATCCAGGAGCCTTGCAGAGGGGCTATGCCGAGGGGACCCGTGCACTGCCTGAGGTCACCAGAGAGGGTGGGCCTCTACTGAAAAGCATGGCTCCCTGAGAGGCCCAGGGCAGAGTGCCCCAGAGCAGCTTTAACTCCAGCGAGGACTAAGAGCCCCAACCCAAAGGGAGGTCACACCAAGAGGGTCCCCACCCACAGGGAAGGAAACATCTCAAGAACAGTCTTGTCCAACACTTTCTACAAAAACAGAAATGTTCCGTATCTGTGCTACCCGTACCCCTGAGCACTGAAAATGTGACTCAGGCACAAAACAGTGGAACTTTTCATTTTATTTCAATTACTTCACTACACGTGGCTAGCAGCTACCAGTGGGACAGGGTATGAGTGCACGCTTGAGGAGGACCAGAGGCCCTGAGGCCCTGTGTACCAGCACCCTCCACAGGAGCCCACTCTGCACAGGGAGAGTGGGTGTGACACCTTAGACTAGAGGCAGCATAAATCTCCACCAAGGGCCAACCAAAAGAATGGCTACACCCTCGGCCCAGGGCCAGCTGACACACCAAGGTGGGGCCCAATCCCCACATAACAAAGATCCCCGCTTCAGGAAGGAGGCAGCCAGAAAAAGGACCTAGCAGACAGCGGCACAGAGCGGATGCAAACTGAAATGGGGGAAGAGCCTTTGGCCTGGGAGCTCGGGAGAGGGCCAGGACCCCAACAAAGAAACGCCTCTAACTGCCCCGGAGCAGGGACAGGGACGCGACACAATAGCCTGCACTGCTTGCCTCCAGTCCAGAGGGAGAGGATGCCGAGTTTATACCCTACACAAGGCACGCCACACGGAGGAGTTGGGACACCAACACAGTGGAGGAGGTGATGCCCCCAAGAGGGGCACAGACTGGCAGCAACAAGCCCTGAAGTAGTCAGAGCACGGTGCCAGGGCAACAAGAGCCCTAGCCCAGGGAGGTGAGGTCTCAGACCCTCAAAGGGGGCAACAGCTCAGGCCCGGAGAGGACAGCACTGGACCTGTGGGAGGCACCACGGGCCCAGGGTATGTGCACCCTCTAGACAAGCTGGGTGCCAAAGTGGACAGGAGCCTTCGCCACAGATGCAACAGCCCCTCCCCCTGAAGACAGACCCCCACATCAAGATACCGTAGACAGCCCAGCAAAGGACCAGACAGAAAGATGGAACTTGAGCCTTGAAGTGGAGGTGCCACCACAGAAAAGCCCCAGTTTTAAAGGGCTGGGAGCCCCCAATGCTCCTGGGGGGATCCACCAAGATCCCCCAGGGAAAAGTAACCACAATAGGCCCACTCTGAGACAGGGGGCATCTCAGGCACCCAAGAGCTTGCACGCTCATGGCAAAGGTCTCAAACAAAACTGAACCTTGGCCCAGGAGGCTTCACCAAAAGTCTCATCCCCTCAAGGAGCCCATTCTGGGGGTGGGGTGAGCAGCGTGCCAGACCCACAGAGGCCAACAGCCACTGCAGGGAGAGACCCAAACTAATGAAGGACAGCCCCTAAAACCTCAGCTCAGGGAAGAGGGTGCAGTCAGAGAGGCCTGAGGGAGACCAAGGCAGAAGGGCAGAAGGCTGAGTCCTGGGAACTAACACCGCATGGTCCTAACGCGGGGGCTGTCACGGGGCTGCCACGGGGCTGCCACGGGCCCCTACGAAGAGGCCTCATGCCATGGCTGAGGAGCTCTGGCCCACTGGGCAGTGATGCTGGAGGGCAATCCCTAACCCAGGAGGCTGCTGACGCTGCCACATAAAGCACCAGACTCTGGAAGAGGGAGGCGTTAGGGCCTGGGGTGGAGGCAGTGGTCTCCCCACTGGGAGCCCCAACACCAAGGATGGGGGACTGGAAACCCCACCTGGGAAAGACTACAGCAGAGGAATCTTTCGTCCTCTGCAAGGTGACAACAGCAGGGTCTGTCCGTCAAATCTCAGGCACCTCACGCCCCCTCAGCTGAGAGGGCAGAAGACTTAGAGCCACACGCAAGAAGAGGGAAGCAATAGTCCTGGGCACCTACACCTGGCAGGGGCCAATGCCAAGAAGGGCAGGAACCCTGTGCCTGGGGGAGCCAACCCTGAGAGTTTCCTTACCCTGGAGGAGAACGCGCACCCCAGCCAGCAAAGTCCACATGTCACAGTACAGGAACCTCAGCTCTAGGAGGCCTTACGCTCCCAGGGGTTCCAAGTGCGTGGGAGTGGGGACGTGGGAGCCCTGGACCCACCGCAGACGTCGAGGGGGCGGGCCCGTGCCTTCTGGAAGGAGGGCGCCCCCAGCAAAGGCTGATGTGAACGGGGGCCCGCTGCGGGCAGCGAGAGGAGGTATCAGCGCACCCACACCCACTGGCCAGGGGCGCCGTCGCGGGGCGGGTGCAGGGGTGCTTGCACGGCCCACGGCGGACATCGTCTGCAACACGGAGCGGGCAGGAGCGGAACGGGGTGCCCCGAGACCCAGGGCAGCTCGGGGGCCCAGCACAGCGCTCGTGAAGTGGGAGTGACATCACCCGGACGGGCAGACAGCCCGCGTCCGGAGGCGGGCCCGCACCCCGAGGGGGCAGCGCGGGGGGCAGCCCTGCCCGCCCCGAGGACGCAGGGCCCCGGGCCCCCGACTTTCCGCTGCAGGGCAAACTTTGGCAA